ATCCGTTTCATTAATACATTTTCATATGTTTATTCACTTTACTTATGACACGAAATAACTTAAAGATAGTACTCGTAACCATATTGGATGCAGGGTTAAAAAAAAATATATTAAATGAAAATACGTTTACAATTATTTTTGTTTTATTATTGTAACTTAATCACTGCGTTGTTTCGAAATCTAACGATTTGATTTACGTTTTTGACTAATCGTGGAAAGAAAACCGAATCCAGAGCTGCAAACATTTCGTAGCATTTTAATGCTCAGTAAATCAACGGCTTTCCATCATTATAATATCGCTTTTACGGGTTCCTTCCGTGGACATTTAATTTACTTAGGAATGAGATTTATATATCAATTACAATTAAACTTGAGTTAATTGCTATTAACCATTTTCAAACGATAAATCTGATGAGAAAATTTGACCATATCTGAATAAATACTTCAAACCCTTTGGGTGAATTGGTTTTATTGTTAATATAAAATGTTATATAACAATGCCCTAAATATTTTATAGGTTAAGTACCCATATATATATAAAGAGGTCATATACATTAATTCTCCAAATTCCACGATAAAATATACATTAAGGTCTTATTTATGTAAATTAATTATGTGTAAAAATAAGTATCTACCATACAAAAATTGATACTCATTTCGACTCATAAATTTCAATTGTAATTGAAAAAACTGTCTAAAATGTGTTTTGTCACGTTGAAAATAAAGTATTTTACTATTATAATAATAATTATAATTATTTTTATTTATTTATTTATTTTTTTTTATTAAATTACATTTTTATTGTTTCAACATAATCTTTGTTCTTACCATTTTATTTTTTTTCAATAAATTACATAATTAGGTATGCATAATATAGTAATGAGATATTTATAAATTTTTTTAATTTTGTGAAATGAGCTTAAATTAGGGTTATTTTGTTACGTCAATTTTCTTAAGATATCGATGTTGAAGATGATGATGAGGATTCTGGAGGTAGCAGGACATCTTGTAGAAGACGTGGTTTTAGTCTGCGGTTTTTGGTTTTTAATTATTTTGATAGATTTCCAGCAATGAAATGATTATTACATTATTAGAGCTATTTACCAGCAGTGGTGTATACCGTGAGCACAAGCATAATAGTCAGTTTAATTTATTGAAGATTTTATTACAAAACAGTCCGAAATAAATTAACAGCAAATTCGATTGGAAAGTTTTCATATAATTTCGTGTTAGTCTAATGATGATGTCCTAAATAGTAATAAAAATCTTAACGGTATTAATGAGTACTCACTTTTGAAATTGGACTGTTTATTACAGATAAATTATACACAATAGTTTTAGACAGATCAAATATGCATTATTATTTTATTTTAATTGAAATTAAATTTTCAATTATCTAATCAACTCGAGTGACTTTTCATAATATAAAACTATTTTCGAAGATTTTTCGTTGGAAATTAATTAAGCTCTTAAATCTAATTATACCCCAGCGGTATTTAAGTAATTAATAATATTATTCGTTCCTGAAAATTACAACCAACACAATGAAATCAAATCTTGAGTTCATACTTTTCAGTAATTTGTATCCGTATATCAAGTATATTATCAAATGTATAGTATTTGTTTCAATTGAGTAATCAGCAGCAGTATGCTGCTTGTGAAGTTCAAATTACAGATAGACTGAGGCAGCAATGCTTATAATTTTATTTTGGACGGCATGTTATTAGTACAATTCTGTCTTTGTGCCGGCTACTGATAATAAGCACGTATTTTAGGGGATGGGGACTATGGGAACGATCGCCCTTTCCCCTAAAGCCCGTAAAAAAGTCTATTTAATTAGATTTTATAAATATTATATAATTTACCATATTTGTTTTTTAATTCTTGTAAATTAAAATATTTCAGCACACTATTATAAGTAGGGAACGGATTTATATTTAAATGCATATTTTTATCTAAACCAAATATTTAAGATTCGATAAGAAATGTTCATCATTTAAATCATTCCTATTAAAATGATGCTACTTTTATTTTACATATTTTTACATATTTCACTAATTTGTAAATATTTTTAAACATATTTTATCATTTCATCATTTCATTCATACGTTTTCTTCATGTGAAAATACAAAAAATTATTTCAATATTAGATCCAGAAACTTCTATCGCTGTTGGAAAATCTCAAAATAAGCACAAAATGAAACATTAAAAAATAATTTAATTTTTATCACAATAAATTTTAGTTTTATTGCACTTACAAATATAAAACTAGAAACAAAAAAATATGTCCTTAAATAATAGTATGCAAATTATCGAATCAGCGATTGAAAAATTAAAACTCGTATACGGACCAATAGGAGATGTTGTAAAAAAGAAAGTCCGTGCTGTTACAGAAAAAAATCGATGCTATATTGATTTTAAAACAACCAATGACATAATGAGTTTTATTTAATTTATTATTATACTTAAAATATTTCAACGCATTATATGCTATTACAATTACAAATTTTAATAATTAAAATCATTTATTTGGATTAGAATTATTAAACATTCTTAAAGAAATATAAATTTTTATTAAAGACGTCATTCAATGGTTGGCTAAAATGAAGAAGAGGCATTCTGATTTAATTTCATAAAAATTAACTGTTATTTAATAAATTAATTTTAAACAATAACATTTTTTTTAATTTTTTTATTATTGATGAAACAAACAACACACCTTATAATAAAAATAACATATGGATGATAAAATTAATTGTCCGTCCTCCCTAAATAAATTTTCATGCCTGATCGATAATAGACTTTTAGAATTAAATCATTAAATGTTTACATGGCTTAAAGAGTACTTACAGTTTTACATTGTACAATGTTCGTATATTTTATATTGCATTTTTTCTAACTACAAATTGGCAGTGGGTCACGTCTATGTGGACTGAATGCTGTAAATTATATTGGATTCGGACGTTAGGTAAATAACATAGCTTGATGAAATAATAACAATTCGAGTATAATTAACTGTCTAATATTTAATAATTTTAAGAGATTTTTCAAAACATTCATAAAGTAAACTTATTAATCAAGTAATTACACTCAAGATAACAATTGATAGTTAATAAATCTTAATTACATGAATCAAACCATAATTAGTAATTTAAATAAAAAAACGCATACACATACGTTCATACATAAAGATAATAAAAACTTTATGCATCTACATAGATACTTAATATAATATATATTATTATATATATAGTCATCAATAGTTATTGTACAAAATATTACAAAAAGTGACTTTTTGAGATTTTTACAATGCTACATTATATACCATGCGTAGAATAGAGAAATATTATAATAGTTTAAAATGTACATTATTATTGATTATATATATAATATCCTAATTTTAATTCTAATTGGCCTTTCATGGCACGTGTTACCTAAAAACTTACCATATAAGTATCGTACGACAAGAACTCCCTGTACTGCATAATAATAATTTTTTTTATACAATGAAAAAGTTACAATATTATCGTGTTATATTACTGGGTTATATTATAGGTAAACATTCGTTATTCTATTGAAATGAATATTTGATAAAATATTATACGTCATAATATTTTATCAAATACCTTACATTATATTAAAACAAAGACGTGTAGAGAGAGTGGTGTAAATAACGATAAAATATGTAATGATCATTGTGCGATCAATCACTTATAAGCAAGACAAAAATGAATGGTTTCTCCTGTACCTACGACATATTTCATGTTCAATAAAATTTTATTGAAATATAATTTATCTCAACTTAAAATATATTGATTTGAAAAACATAATTTTAGCTTAAAATGATTCAGGGGAGGGCTAAAAATTAACTAAAATCAACCAAATATAATATAAATCAAAGGATGAAGAAAAAAATATTCATATAAATTGATATGTAACACAATTGTATTTCTATTTTGCTACGTAATGGTTACAAATAATCAACAATTACTCAAATTTAAAGGTAGGATATTTCAAGCACTTTTGTAGTGCTATATGTATTAGTACTCACATATCTTAGATTAGAAGTTGGCTTCAAAACATTTTCGCAATGATAAATACTAAAAATCAATGTCTTTTGAAATTTTGAAAATTAGAGCTAATAATATGCATGCTAATTAAATTAAAATAACACCGTATTAACATCGCATAAACTAGATTCCATCGATGCAATTAAATCACATATTCAAGGTTAACAAAATATTTATAGATTTTGTAATATTATAATAAATTATTAATTTAAATTTAAATAACTTTTTTTAAATTTTAGAAAAATTAATAGCTTAATACTCATAAAGATGTATATTTTAAATCAACATAATATAGGTATGATTAATGAAACATCTTTATCCATAATTATTAAACTAAAAGACGATAATGCATTATGATTACTTGATTACTCAACGTAATAATATAATTATAATAATAATAAGTTAAAGTGTTTTTTTCCCTTTATTTGATTACTTGTTCATTATATAATTAAAATTGTTACGTATAACTAATACCTGGAGATCTCAGTGGTAAAAAGCGATAGTTACCCATAGTTATATATTCTAATTGAAGCGAGTAATGTATTTAAATAATTATCTTGGTTTTAATTCTGATATAATTTACAATGTAAATTTTTCTATAACTATTTTACGCTTAAGACGACATATTAGAAATAAAATGGTAAACTCACCCGATTTCAATTCCGAGACTAATATGTTATCATTTCGCTTGCAATATTCTACCCTAAAATGACGTACCATTGCGCGGCGTTGAAACGATGTCCAAACGAGATGATTTTTCATCCAAATGAAAAACAGTACCTTCCTTTTTTTAAACACGGTTGTTACTATTGCAAATATCATATGGAAGACAGTTGTTTTTTTTTCGGACTTTTGGTGAACAATGGGAAGTGTTCCGAAACAGAGTTATGCACTTGTGAACATACTGTAATAATAAATATAGGTTTGCCGTGAAAACAAAACACAGATAGAACTTATCGCTGTTCCAACGATGAATAAGTGTTGCATAGTTGGGCGCAATCGAATCGCCTCTCGTTAGTGCCGAAAATGACTTACCGAATACTTTGCTTAACAAAAAATAAAAATATAAAAAGGGTCACCCGAGTTGCCTACCGTTACCGTTCCCGTTACCGAACAGTTACTCAGATCGCATCCAATATCAGGTTAGTTTAATCGGCATCGATAACGGGTGCGGCGAATTGCCGAATCGATCTTATTATTATGAATAATAACTCCTTTGATCACGATAAAATAGGTTATCGAGAAGTCATTGCATAGTGACATAGTTGCATCATGTTGAAGATTTCGTGGCAAACCACAAAAACGTGAATGTGTCCATTCCGACGTTAAATGTTAGAGTGCAGACGCGATTCGAACGACCGTCTGAAAATGACCGTTCGAATAGGATTTAAAATCGCAAACCGTCCGACCAAAGAGAAAAAAATAGATCGCGCGTCGTTTCCAACGCGCACGTTGATCGTACATCGATCCCGATGAAGAAGACACGCGGTAGGCCGTCCGAGTACACAGAGACGCAATACCTATGTATGTTCAAATTAGGTATGTTCGAATTGCCATTGACCCGTCCGGGAGACGGTTCGAAGGAAAAACAATGAACTACCTGGGTTCGAGAGGTGATCGGCGTGCAGGTGAAGAGACGTGGCCTAGCGGCGTACGTTACGCGGTCCTTTGCGTGGACACCAGGACGACGGACACGTCGGTCACGTCGCCGTCGTCGTCGTAATCGTCGTCGAAGGCGGTCACCACGGCGGCGGCGGCGGCGGTGACGGTGGTCGAAGCAGTGGCCACGTGTCAAGCGTCTACGCCGTGCTGCAACGGCAACAGTTCCAGGCTGTGCGGCGCGAGTGGCGGCCCGGACGATTGGTGTGCGTAGTCGACGCAGTTGAGCTCTTGGAGCGGCGTGAGCGATCCGGGCCGGCACGCGGCCACGGAGTCGACGGACGTGACGGTGGTCATGACGGAGCCGCGGTGATGGCTGCTGCTGCCGCCCTGGCCGGACGAGTCGCCGAAACCGCCACCACCGCCACCGCCGAAGCCTCCGCCGTCACCGTCGCCGCCGCTGCCTCGACCACCACCGCCGCCGCCTCCGAAGCCGCCGCCGAAACCGCCGCCGCGACGGTGGTCGTGGTGTCGCGCATCGTTGCAGTACGTCTTGCGCCGGCCACACGGCACCGGGCCCGTGCCCTTGTATTCGTCCGCGCGGCGGCTACACACGCCGAACCGGCTGAGCAGTACGAACAGGTCGCGGCGGTACTGCTGCGTGAGCAGCGCGTACAGGTACGGGTTGGCGCACGAGTTGAGCGGGTAGAAGAACACCAGCAGTATCTTGGTCTTGGGCACGTCGATCAGCGGATAGCCGGCCAGCGCGGTCAGCCCGAAGAACGCCACCGGGGCCCAGCACGCAAAGTCCGTGAACACCAGCAGCGCCATGCGCTTGGCCACCGTCATGTCGGACCGGGCCACGGACGCCACCGCCTCGCGGCCGCCCCGGATCGACACGTACATCTTCGCGTAGCACGCGCATATCACCACGAACGCCACCCCGTTGAACATGAGCAGCGAGAACAGGTACAGCTTGTCCGCGAACGTGGTGTGGTCCATGGGCAAGCAGATGCTGTGAACAACCGCGTCACGACAACGGTGTCGTCGTTTGTTTATTTTTATTAATTTTTAATTTTTTTTTTTTTTTTTTTAATCCCTTAAAGGCGGTCGGTTTCGGTAAGGTCGGACCGGATCACGGACAAGCAAAGAAAGCTTCGCCCGTAAACCGGCACGAAAACCGATTCATTAGTCGAAATACGACCTGGGTGTCTGGTTTAAGTTGTGACCGTAGGCCATAACCTAACCGACTGGGAACATCTGGTTCGCAGTACAGTCGTACGGCATTATTTACACGTTAAGAACGTTAGCAACACTTTGGGTTTTTTTTTTTATTTATAAATATACGTATCCCTCCTCTCGACCATTTATGCGATTCTGTACCATTCTTTCGGAATCAGAAGGATCACGTCCTTACCCCGAGCCGTTTGATCAACCAGCCCGAAAAACGATTTTTTAGTTCAAGTCTCGGATTATTTTTAGGTCGACATAACTGTCACCGATAAAATAGGATATTTCGTGTTAAGAGCGGATCGCTGAGTGGGAATTACAATTGAAATGTGACGGGGCTTAAAAATAATTTACATTTCGTAGCATATACCGTTGTGACTTTTGTCGTGTTCACGCTTAGTTTTGAATTATAATATGGTTAAAAACATTTGGCCGATCCGTATGACAACGACGCTGGTATGCGTCACTGATTTCTGACCGAAAGTGACTGATACATGGTGTAAGTTCCGCTACAGAAATATCCCGTGGAGTACTTAGATATACGTTTTTGCGTATACGATATACAAGTATGTCTTGGAACAAATTGGTAACGTATACCGTACGAAATTCGAACCGTTTGGCGTAGAACCGTGTATTACATTTAATTTAGATTAGACAACAGTTTAATTCGGGCGTTATGTGAACGCTAACGTTTTATGTTCGACGTTGCGATCTCAAAAAAAAAAAAAAAATAATCCAGTGAAAATCAAACTAATAGTAAGGACGTTTTTCGATCGGGCACGAATAATCAGACGGTGCAAAGTGTACAGTGTCTATTGCCATGTACACAGAGTACGCGCGCAAGTGCGACTTTAATTACCGACTGCTTTTATTTTTCGGTTGCACATCGTTACACACCGATTACTCGGCTACATCATCGTTATACAATAACAGTATACTGTTACGAGTCGTTGAAAATTAATTATTTAAGTGTTTATTTTATTTCTGAAATCGATGAAAACTAATGGTCTTTCGAATCTAAAATCGTTACCCGTAATTACAGAACATAAAATAATAATTGTTGCGGTGATTATTTAGTACCGAAACCCATTAAAAAAAATAAAAACACTAGCAAGATTATTAAGTTCTTACTCCGAACAATATAATAATTCATATTTAATCTGGTCTTAAGAATTGACGGGACTATGAAGATAAGTGTTGGATGATGCACAATAGAAATAACAAGAATATTGTTTGTCTCGAAATAATAAATTATTCAATCACTTTGTACGAGTGAGATAGGATATCGAGTTCGGTAACTGTTACGGGATGCGTCCAGTCACACATATAACAATAGTATTTATAGTAATTTTCATTCTGGAAATAACGTACACCCAACGAAGGTCAGAACCAGCAATGGACTATGTTTTTAAATATTATAAATGAGGACCGTTAAAATATATATTAATGATTGAAAACGATTTCCGTAAGCAGCGCAGACAATGTCGTGCTGCCACATTAAAAGCCAATAAACAGGTTAAAAAAATGTTTTTATTCAGTTGTACTTATATTTATACAATTCAGTATAATAAGTATGAATGACTCTAAGGTTTTACAGTTGCACTGGGATTCGGGTGGAGAAGCCATCCACTCCGACCTCTAAGATATTGTATAAAATAATACTTTCCGGTGATCAGTGTTATACTATTGTAATATTATGGACTGCCGTTACGCGGAAAAATAATAAATAATAATTTGCTTTTTCTATTTTCGCCCCGCGCAATTGACCGGAGCGATTATTGCATATAATATTTTATTATATAATGCGTATACTTATATATTTGTGTATAATTAAAATTTATTACAATCGATTGTACATCTGCTGCTGTTGCGGTTACACATAGCGGCAGGGGCGTATACAGGGGGGGGGGGTTAGGTCCCCCCATAGGCCTTTTTAAAATTATATAAAATAGTATTCTTAATGTATGGAAATCATAAGGAAACGAAAAAATATTGCAAAGATTTATTGTAGATTTTTATTTTGACACATTCAATATAAATAAATTTTATTATTTATTATCTAAATATGCAGGTACATAGGTTTAGGAACTTTTCTTCCATAATAATTTGTTTACAACTGATCCTCTCCTTCGTACAAAAGATATATATATACGCCACTGCATAGCGGTGCACTACATCGATAAGCACAGATCGATTTGGCCGCGCGCGTATGGAACCGGAATACAAGCGAACGTTTATCGCGCGCGTTTTGTCACGAGAAAATGCCATAACGTCTAAGATGAAAACTATTAACGGTTTTAGCAGGGCACACACGGCCAGATATAAATGTATGTATATATATTTATCCCCCGAGATTTTATTCGTCGTAAATCGAATCCCTTTCGCGCCTCGGATTTATGTGTTCATATTCGCCGGGTAGTAAAAAAAAAAAAAAATAAATAAATAAAAAAAAATGCACGCACACCACTTGTTTATCGTTGGCTGCTCGTATGCTAGTCAGAATATTGTATACCACCGTAGGTGTACGTTTCCGCAAAAAAGGAACAGAAAAATAATATAAACTTACTCAATAATGTATTATACCGCATCCGTCGGCATACTAATCCATGTACAATTATAGAAATATTTTTATTTTTGATATTTCGAATATTCATCGCACTCCTCGGTCGTTGTTGGACCCAGAATCCACGTATTTTAATAGTTATTTAAAGTGTGAAGAACGTTTAGATTTATAACAATTTTGAAGCTTTAGTGAGATCAAATAAAAATCATTCTAAAACCAGCACGTAGACATTATATCCTTATAGGTACCGTAATATACCGGTACAATATTGGACTGAAAGTTATAATTTACGAAGTTAACGTGTTTAAATAAAGTTCAATGTATATTTTTCCAATCATAACTAACACAATAATAGTGGTTCGTGCAAATAATGTTCAATACAACAAAATTTCAAAAATATCGAATTCAACTACTATACAAAATAAGGTAAAATATTCAAATATTTTTATTTCGGTGTGTTTTCTTTTGAATTAAGTCACAGAAATCCTTTCGCTTCTGAAGGCTAATATTAAAGTTTAAAAATGGTGTTTTTTTTTAATAAATTATCTTTTAGAATTGTAAAAATTCTTTATAAGTTGATCGCATTATAAATATCATCACTCATAAAATTCGAAATACTACAAATTCCTGAAACATATTTATTAAGTTTTAAAATTGAAGATGAAATTATGAATTTATAAATAATTTTACCGAGTGGATTATTGTATTGTTAACTAAAAAAAAGTTGTAATTATAAAACATAATTATAATTTTTAATCGAATAATTATGTTTATATTTTATTAGTCTTATGAATAATAATTCGAAAGAGTTTTTTCGTTTTATTTTTATTTTTTGTGTAGCAAAGAAATTGAGACGAAATATTTATTTTTGATTTTTGATTTCAAACAGATGGAAAAAATTCTATAAAAACGTAAAATGGGTTGCAGTTAAACTATTGAAAAGAAAAATACATTAAATCGCAACCTACCTATACTTGTTACGTATAGCATTTTCACGTGTCAGTATTCGCACAACGGCCGTATGCCTGTATTACAAGTACACATCGGTATAACCACAGACTTGGTATTGGATATGATTGCGAGATACCTTAACATAACTCATTGGAAATGTTCGAACAGAAGCATGGCCTTCAAGGTGAGAGGTGTCTCATCGAAATAATGACTTCCCTGCCAAAGCATAACTTTCAGCATCTCCCGCCTCAAACGAGTTTCTTGTTACATACTGTCTTACACGCACAACCACTTTCTAACGTACTATTACCGTATTTACAACCGTTATTCGCGCCATGCGGAGAGTTACCGCAAACCTTATAAGCCCAAAGAGTGCTGTAAATCGGAAACCTAACAATTTTTCAGGGATGAATCGTTTTCCGAAAAATTGTGAACATTTAATACTTAGTAAATTTATTAATTTAGGAAATCGTGCAGTAACATCGCCACCGAACACCAACGTACCTGGTTCTCGAGTATCCGGTGGTGCCCATCAACGGTAACGCGCCCATGACCACCGAGAAGATCCAGCCGACGGCCATTATGTTGACGGAGGCTCCCAGCTTCAGTCGCCGGTTCAGGTGAATAGCGTATGTGATGGTGTACCACCGTTCACCAGTGATTATCATCAACGTGAACACGGACAGCATGCACGAGAACACGGTCAAGAAACCGGCGATCTTGCATCCGATACCTGAGGACGAACATAGAACATGACGAAATAATATTATGTTGTATACACATGTATTTCTGTTCGCCCCACCAATGGTCGAGGTATAATATTTTCTGTTAAAATGTCTCCAATAAAAATAATAAAAATAAATTGTCGATAACAGTTGTTTTTAATTTTTTTTTTTTTTTAAGTTAAAACTTTTTGCGTGAATATCTTGAATAGGTTTATAGAGTTTAAAGAGTAGTATAAAAAATTATTTATAGTTAAATTTAGATTTCATAAACGAAATATATTATTTTTCATTATCTGGCATTCAACCAGTAAAAAGCCACTGATATACGTATATTACTGCACGACAAGATAGCCCGGACGTCCATGTGGATAGATTATTTTTTGACTCTATCGGTGAAATTCTACGCTCGAATCTTTCGAACGTTTTACGTGCCAAGATACGTGCAGGTAAAATTTAAACACAACATACATATTTACAATCCACATTAATAATAATAATAATATAATCCGTTTAAAAACACTGTGTGAAGTATTTAATTAATCCTGTTACAGAGTTTATTTTATTTTTTATTTTTTCGCGTGCCATTGAAATCTAGCCAACGGCACCGTCTCCGGCACTCGTGTCGGTGGTGTCCACCACTGCTGGTCGTGGATAACAAGTGCAACGTACACTCATTTCACGAATTTGCGTTCGAACAATAATGTTTGCACGTACACGTCGTATGCAAATAGATCGCCCATACATGCTATAACGTCGGTACGCGTTCTAAAACTCACGGTCACATATTACGATTGGTCGCGTAAAATCCTGCAGAGCCGTATTTACCAGGTCCAATTATTTATCTGTTCTAAGAGGTTCGTTAAAATTGTTTATAAAGGTGTAAATTGCTTGCGGCAAAATTTTAACCATTGAAATCTTCCATCTACTAGCATCTAATTTGTTGACAATGATTTTCGATTACTTATAAGTACATTTATGGTTCGCATATCATTGTAATACCGTCATGTTTGACCTAATGTTTTGCATCTGTCAACGAAGCTGGCGAAATTAATCATAGAACAAGTGTTTACGGGCTGCACCGTACACACTTGTTCGAAAAAAAAATACCTCCTATTTAGTGTTCGAAATGAAAAATTTTCTGAACCAGAACTCTTTTTTTCTTTGGAAACATACCATAGGTTTTGGGGCTTTAACCAACCAAAATTATAATTTCCCCTTCCTGAAATACTAAGCCTTTTTTAATACATAAAATATACCTACTATTTTATACTGTTTTAGTTAAAATTACACTTTGGCAAATCATTTTTTTTCATCTCTGATGCTATGTGGGGTGCTATATCCACAGATGTTTTATCAGAGTGTAAAATATTTTCTATATTCATACCATTTAAAACTTGTTAATCAATTATTTATTCGGTAAGGTAATTCGGTAAGGCTTTTGAGTTCTTACAATTTTATAAATAATTCTAAAAAAATTTTCAGTAGTAGTGAATTTTGATTTCAATACTTTCAATAATTTGATTTCAAAACTTTTTTCTATTTGTTTTTTTTTTTATTTTTTATGTAATTCTAATGATTTATATTAACGTCAAATTTTTTGTGTTCAAATATTTTTTTTCTCAAACTAGACTTTTAAGTTTCTTTTGACTTTCCATTCGAAATTATAGATCAAGGTTTGGAAAATCAGAGTTATGTCAACAACAGATAATCCTAAATTTATTATAGTTTATAAATCAAACAACTTAATACTTTATTTTTAACTTTTAAAATTCACATACGTATTGTGTAAATAAAGCTAAATTACACTATCAGCGGACGGCAATTATCTTATAGATAAGCGAAAAATGTAGTTATGCATGTTTTACGTTTATTAAATATTTAATAATGAACAATTATGCAAAATTTTTAAATTTTACCAAAATATGGTAGTTACAGTAAAAATTTGTTTGAACGGGATGGTGAACGTATTTTTTTTTACGAACCGGAACGCTAAAAAAAAATTTGACGTGAACAGAAACTGTGTTTTAGTGCGTTCCGGTCCATTTCGAACCCTGGTCCTATTAGTTAAATTAATCTTAAGTTAACAGACGCTCAAAAGGATATCGTACAATTGTCGAGACCTTTATCTCTCTCTCTCTCTCTCTCTCTCTCTCTCTCTCTTTCGTTCTCTCTTAAAAACACTGTCAATTATTTGCTGCCGTACATCACGTGGGTTAACTATAGACGTGAAATACACTTAATGGGGCACTCTCGCCGGCATAATTAACTTATGTTAAATACCTATCGAAAATTAAAAAAAAAAAACAAATGCAAAAATAAAAATAAACGCATCCCCGGAGCTTATAAGAAAGTAGGATATTAACAAGTAGGGTGCATCAAGTGAAATATTATTTAATTTTCGTCGACGTATGTTTGAAATCACTTATTTAAAATTAATTTAAATTAATATAAGAGTAACTCATTTATGTTCCGAATAGAGGTCATGGTTGTGAACGGGTATTAAAATACACGGGTACACGGAGCCCGGGCACACGGTCAAAAAACATATTAAAGCCCGTGTATTTAATACCCGTGTATATCCGTATATTTATTTATTATTACCCGTGTATAATACATATTATTGAAGAATTCATATGCACTTTAAAAATTTACATTTATAATAATAATATAATGTAATGTACCTATATTCCAATAATTGGTTATTTATTAATAATAACAATTGTATAGCCCTCAATTACTTACCTACCCATTATTATTTGAAGATGTTATGAATAGTTATAAGTTGCATTTAAAAATTAGTAAGATGCATTCGTTTATCGTATAATTGTATATAGGTATAAACATAAAGTATAAGTATAATAATACTTAAACTGGTTTTAAGATTAAAGAATTAACAATCTTAAAGCTATCTTATCGCCAATATTATTGCATTGCGTTTACGTATGTGTGCCTTGTATCTAAACATTTTTGGTGATTTTAAAGTTGTTCCATACTTTATAGTGTCTGTGTTCACTATTGGTACGTAAAGTGTAGTATTAATATTTGTATTATACATATTAAAAATTTATCTTTGAAAAATGAGTTACCGTTCTAAAAGTTGGGTATGGCAATACGGCAAACGCCAAGGCGATAAAGCTTTTTGTGACTTATGTGAAGATAATTCAAACAAAGTGTTTTGTTGTGCTGATGGATCAACGGGATCATTTGGAAGATATTTAAAACTCATTCACAATATAAGTAGAAACTCTCAAAATCCAACGTAAGTACTTAATTCATTTATAATAATTCAAATAAAAAATGGACTGGATTAAAAATTAGAAAACCTAATTAATAATAAAAGAATACCTAATACCTAATCTTACATAACGATAAAATGAATTGTTTAAGAAAATATATATGATACAAACTTATAGCATATTAACTCTTGGTACATCATACAATAAAATAATAAAATTCTTATTAAAACATGTTCTCTTATTTTCTGTTACATTTTTGGGCGTTGAAACGATACCTAGGTAGAATAGTTCAATTTATTTTTGTTGTTTTTATTCTTTAAAAGCTAATTTTATTTGAACAAATATTTGAATTGTTGCCGCGTTGTGGTGAATTCACACTTTGTATACACGATGTAGCAGGTTCAATTCTACCTTATGCAAGTAAACATTTTGCTTTATTTCCTTTTATGACTATATGTTTTTTAATACTTGGTTATATAAACACATATGACGTAATATAGTTTATATTTTTTTCACATCGTACACATTGGACCTGTCCTAATAATAATTACAATTACGTTAACAATAATAAAAATAATATATATTATACGCTAAACATAATGTAATAATTTTATTATCCAACTTTTATTCCTATAAAATTGATTCAAGTAATTGTAATTATTGTCATACTTTAATTTTTTTCTTAGTGATGATAATTGTCATGAAGATGAAGAGTGTAATACAGTTGTTAATTTAACACAACGTTCATCTTCAAATAATTTAAATACTGGATGTTCATCCTCATCATCGGAATTTCGTGAACCACAACCCCGAAAACGGCGTGGAACTTATATTAATAAGAACTTTGAATGAAACCGAATTTGTACTTCTGAAAGAACAGAAGAAATCCATTAGGCGTTAGCTAAAATGATCGCCATGAACCAAATATCCTTATCCTTTTGTTCTAGTTCCGGATTTAAACAATTTATGAATATAGTTGAACCAAATTATATAATTTGTAAGGAAGGTGCTATCAAACAGAGACTCAAAGGATTCAAATCATCGGTTGAAGATTCAATAAAAAAAGAATTAAAAAACGCCAGGAGTGTAAGTTGCACATCTGACTGTTGGTCATCGATAGCTCAAGAATCATATATAACAGTTACTGCACATTTTATTGATGACCAATGGTGCCCAAAATCATACATCCTGATCACTCACAAATTAGACGATCGTCATACAGCTTCAAATCTTTCGAATCAACTAGAAATTACTTTTAATAAATGGGAAATCGACCAAAAAATTATGTCAGTAGTTAGGTTATATCAGTTAACTGATAATACAAAAAGTCTGTTGAATGCAGTTAATATACTGGATAATATCACAGAAAAGAACGATCTAACATGTGCCGCACATACTTTACAACTGGCTGTCAACAATGCCCTAAAATATGATAAAATAGAAAATTTAATTGAAATATGTAGTAAAATAGTTTGTCATTTTAAGCATTCCAATTTAGCAAGTCAATATTTAAAAGATAAGCAAGAACAACTACGTTTGCCAACAGAAAGCTTGATACAAAGCTGTAAAACACGATGGAATTCTATATTTATGATGCTTGAGCACCTTTATAAAAATAGGTGCCCAATTTCAAATGTTATTGCTGATCGTTCGATGACTACAACAACGATCGCACATAAATTTGAAGTGACGGAGCACCAATGGACAGATATTGAAACGTTAATACAATTGCTTAAACCTCTACAAATTATGACTACTATTTCTTGTGGAGA